CAACAGACCTTAGGAACCTTAATTGAACTATCTTGGCCTCTTTAGGGTAGTGAGATAACTGACTTTGGTGCAGTCCGAGGTTGGTTGATACTCGATACTACACTCAATGGAGGGTTGCTTTCCTGGAATATTTCGGTCGCCAGTTCAGTGGCTAAATCGAAACGATGAACAATGAAAGCAATCCCGTGATATTGGGACCCTTAGAACCCGGTTACTTCTGATAGGACAGGTTGAGCCCACCAACTTCAAGAGGGTAATACCCAGACCCCATGCTGGCCTAAACTCTAAGGGCTTCTCTTGTGTGACTTGTGTGCCTTCGTACTTGACTATCTGCATGCTTGTTACCTGACACTTGTTTCTTGCAGGTTTTGTTTATAGTCCTTAATAGGGACTCATAACAGGGTATACTAGGTTTCTTACAGGTTTTGGTTTGCAGTCCTTAATTAGGACTCATAACAGGTTTTACCAAGCTTCTTGCAGGTTTTGGTTTGCAGTCCTTAATTGGGACTCATAACAGGGCTACTCACATTACCCCATGCATAGCATGACATCATACCATTGCATACATCCTAACCCATTTCAAGGATCTCGAGGGCTTGTGATGCAGGTCATGATAAATCAAACATCTAGCAAGGGGGAAAGAGGATTTATTTTCCTCTAGCCAAAGCTGTCAGAGGCTATGACCCACTTGATATGGTGAGCTTTGACACTTGAAGAAGGTTCCTCTAGCCAAGGTTGTCAGGGGCTATGACCCACTTGATATGGTGAGCCTTTGACCCTTGAAGAAGGACTCTCAACAACATGAAGTACCTTCAATCAAGTTACCAGTTTTCAACTCTTAACAAATTTTCTTGTTTACCCCGCGAGGTCCTTGAAAACATTGCATGCATGTCATTCACATCATTACATAACAGGTACCCTTGTTGCAGGTTACTTACCTTTCCCGCTGTTTATTTCAGCAAATGGCTTCCCAACCAGACAACCAGGACTTGCTTGTTCAAGAGACCCGGTTCGGGGAAATCCTCCTGAATCTATCCAAGGGGCAGGAAGAGCTAAGGACACTTCTCATGGAGACCTTTGTCAGGAAAAGTGCTGAGGATGAAAAATTGAAACACCTACAAGCTGAGATGGATGCAATGAAAGCCCAAATGCTGGGGCAGAGGAATGCCATTCAAGGTCTAGCTCAAAGACAAGATGAGCTCCGGTTTCTCGTCAACCAACTGCTTCAGGGTAACCAACTGGGGCAAACATCTAAGGGTAAAAAGCCAGTCATCGTTCGACCATCTTTGAGACAAAGAGGCAAGGAGAAAGCTCCTCATATGGCTCCAGTATCACCAATTCAGTATCAACCTCACCAGCTTCAGCCAGACAAGCCCAAAAGGCAATTCACCAAGCTTAACGTGTCGCTGCCTCAAGCCTTACAACAACTGCTGAGGTTGAACCTGGTAACTCTAAAGGATCCCCCTAAGAATCCCAACAGGACACCTTCAAGGTATAACCCCAACGCTCACTGCGCTTATCATTCTGACAGCCCGGGGCATGCTACAGAGGATTGTTGGACTCTGAAAAATAAGATCCAGGATCTGATCGAGGAGGGAGCTGTGGAATTCACCCGAGATGGCCAGGCTGAGTGCTTCTACCATCCCTACAGGAGGCACCAATTGAAGTGACAAGCCCCGAGATTAGAAATTTTTTGTTCATTCGAATGTTCAAGATTGCAATTTTCTTTTGTTCAAACATTTATTCATGTTAAACATTGTTATCACATTAATGCATCGCTTATGTCTATTTTGAATCAATATATTCGCATTCACTATATGCAAACTGTTTTCATATTTTTTCTGATGTCAGCTCTTGATCTAAAATTCTAAAGCCTCTTAAGGGAGGATGACGAAAACGATACCATAATCTACAGTATGCTTTTGAACAGACCCCGCTGATGAAGTACAGGCATTGTTTCAATTCCTAAACACTGGAGTAATAAGGAAGATAATCCCTCGTCAACCCCTCTGAGCCAAAGAAGTAGGAGTTTTTCTTTTCGAAAATTAAAACCCTTTATCATAACCTGGGGCAGGGTAGTTCTCTCAGTTGATCCAAGTGCGCAACAAATGGCACCAAAGAGATCCTTACGAAAAAAGAAAGACAGTGATGGTTCCGAACAATCGTAAAGACAGGCAGTCATTATCAAAAAATTCATAAATGAAAAATCCATTAAGTCAAAACCTATAAAAGGGACTTACAAAACTTGGGCATCCTGCTGACTGTAATTCCAAAAAGGGAAACAGTTCAGGCAAAAAAAGAAAGGGATAACAAAAATCAAGAAAGAGGTCTTACAAACCCTCAACAAAAAAGGAGATGACTGCCTACTCAAATAAACGTTCAATATCCGAATCATCACCGAAAAATCAGAGTAAAGACTCAAATAAGGTCTAACGTATGATCAACTGAGTTTAGGTTTGGAGAACATCACGAAGAGCGGGTGGGTACAAATAATTTGAGCCTTTATCCTTTGTTTCTTAAACCGTGAACCAGGCCACGTTATAACCCTCAAAAGTCCTAGCTGAAGCATGGGTTAGCTCGAAAGCATACTGTCACGAAAGGTATCCTGACTCCTTAAGGCTTGCGGTAAATACGGAGTTGACATCACGTTTTACAAACATTCACTTGTTTTATGAAAAAAGAATGCATTTTCAAAATCTTCGAGACAGACATAAGCTTTGCATTTTTAACATAACTTTGTTTGCATATGACTTTTTGTTTGAACAGCATAGAAATCCGCATGACGAAAGTCTAATGAACAAGAGTATCTCCAATCAAGGGGGGCATGACATGACTATTGTCCATCATCTGGGGCAGTTAAGTCAAGATTCGGAGAATCTCTCAAAAAAGCCTATCAGCCTGGGGCAGATCTCCGTCTAAGTCACTTGGGGCATTCCAACAACGAATCTTGCCTGATCAAATACCTTCTGGTGGCATGACAAAACACTTCTAACAGGGGCAACTCCCTACTTTCTGAGAACGGACATAGTCGAAAAAATACTACGCATAATCAAAGACCCGCTAGGTTGACACACCTAGGCAAAAATAAGGGCTTCCCGGCGAACCAAAAGGGTTCGGGCAAAATGAAGGGATGAAATGAAAAAAAATCTGTACACCCGGCAAGTCGAAAACCTGAAAAGGCGGCTTGGGCAAAAATGGGTATCCCGGTGGACTGAAAACCCGAAAGGGCAGTCCAGGCAAAAGTTAGGGATCAAAAGCGTACGACTATGTCCCGGCATCTCGTCACCTGCCTACACTACAAGAAAAATGATAGATTGGGACGGTTATTTTGGCTGATTACGACGGTTAAAACCGTCGCAATTTACAATCTACGACGGTAGAAGTACCGTCGCAGAATCGTGCGTCCCCAGCCTATTTCGCGACGGTTGCAAAACTGTCACGCACAACAGATAGCGACGGTTATATACCGTCGTGAATTTGACTTTATTTTTTGTTTTTGTTGTTGTTTGCGACGGTTATTCTACCGCCGTAGGTTAGAAACTGCGGCGGTTTTAACCGTCGTAATCTGATTTATAAATTTCAAATAATATTTTTATTTAAATTATTATTTAGTAAAATAATTTTAAATATAATATTATTTTACTATAATATTTTACTATTATATTTAAATTATTATTTACTTTAATATTTTTTTATTTATAGTATTTTTATTTTATTTTCTATCACTTTTCAACATAATAAAGTTAATTACAATAAAAACATTTAATATCAAATAATCATCAATAATATCAAAAAAATGTGATCAAAGGTAAAAAGAAGTGCAAATTTTACCAATAAACAAGAAAAATTCAAATATCATCAAAGGCCAAATTTCATTTTAATATTTACATTGGTTTGCTACAACTTGAGAGAATTACAAAAAATGTTACAATATTCTACAAAATTCATGAAAGTCCTTAGTGTTAAGTGATTTTGTGTTAAACTTCCATGCTAGGACCATGATCCTTCCTTGACTACCATTTGGTCCAAGCTACGCATACCTAGCAGCCTGCAAGATTCACACAAAACATAAGCAATATCTTAGGGCAAGTTTAAACAAACTTCTAACTTCTAGAAACTTTTCAACTGAGTTATGTAACCTCTCCATCACTCTCTTTTTCATAGCTGATAAAGAGATTCCTCAAGGCTTGTGAAATAGAATACCAAGGGAAGAAAGGGGGCCTGCAACGTGTACTTGAACAACACTTTCCACACATGATTAATAAATATAACTTGGCAATAATTCCACATTCAGAAAACGAAGGACATAGACACTACATGGTCCATGCATATTCTAGCATTTATTAACCATCTCACAATTTGTTAACAACAGCAATAAATTCTAAAATCAGATGATACAACAACACATCTGAAAAAGAAAACAAATAAAAACAAAGAAATTAAAGAGACAGCTAAGTTTCAGCTTAAAAACTAACTATCATTTGAATCCAAATTCAGGAGACAACTAAATGTTCATTACAAATTGAATAGATTTTGCTTCTCTACTATTATGGTATAGTGGAAAAGTTAGGGTATCTCTACTATTTGAAGGAAGGGTATCTCTGAAAGAGCAAGAGGAAGTTACAACGTTCTCAATGGTTCAGGAAAAGAAAAGAATCATAAAATTGGTAATAGAATGTCTTAGAAAAGTCAATCACAATCTTATTAAATTTCACCAGAGTTCCCTCACATTTGATTCCATGCTGAATCTGTGCACTTTGGGTTATTTTAAGGATACTTACTATTCAGAATCAAATAAGATCTAAAATCTCCCAACCAATATGATAGCAACTCCAACTATATTGCTCTACTAGAATACAAATAGGTGATAAGAGTTTGTAGGTCCTAGTATCAAAATAAGAAAGGTACTCAAGTCATAGAGAATTATGGTAGTGAAACAAAAAAAGTTGCAGAGAGCAAGAACTCGGTTTGTTGGGGAGCAGGCAAAAAAATAAAACATATCAAGCAATTGGCAGCTCACCACAGTCACTGATAACAACCTTCTTTCGTGGACGATCACCACGATCTGTCTCTTGCGATTCAATCAATCTAACAATGTCCATGCCTTCCAAAACTTGGCCAAAAACAACATGTTTCTGATCAAGCCATTGCGTCTGTGCCAAATAAGTTGATAAGCAGATATGAATTGAAAGTAAGAGAGGTTGAAAATGGAAGTTATGAAGTTGATAAGCAGATATGAATTGAAAGTAAGAGAGGTTGAAAATGGAAGTTATGAAGTTGATAAGCAGATATGAATTGAAAGGAAGTTATGGAGTACCTTGACGGTGCATATGAAAAACTGACTCTCATTAGATAACCTAATTTGACTTACAAAGGGGAAATTATCACTAAATTCATTCAAAATAACTTACAAGGGGAAAATCATAGCAGTATGTGGTGCTACTCTTTCTTGCTGCGAGACGTTTTCGGTCAATAACTCCCAAAGGTTGATAGTTTTCGTTCACTGGTACACCATGCAGTGGACCCTTTACTGTGACTGAATTGTAAACCACTTTATGAGTGGTGGCATCCTCCATTTCTCGATATATCTGAATTTTAAAAATCATGAATCTGAGAGGGAAGAGCATGCAGGAAGTTTTCCTTTAAATTTTTAAGAAACTAAAAAACTTACATGTACAGTGGATGTATGACCAGTAACATTGTTTACAATGACCCTCCAAGCACCATTTGCCTGTCCACATGCTGTAATCCAGAGCTTCACTTCCCATACAAAAACTCCTAATCTATGCATTCTTACACCAACAGAGGAATGGATTTCCTGTGCCAGTTCTTCCAAGATTGTCTCTACTGTTGTTTCTTCTTGACCGGTATCTATGTTGATTTTTCTGGTATTAACATCCAAACTGCATGGCTTGACCTTCAGCCATTCTGAAATGAATAATCCCAGAAGCAGGGGAGAGAAGAGGCATACACATCTTCATGACCTCAACTTCAGCATATGGTGTGTCTGCATCAATGTGACTGTCGTCTGCAACCAAATATCTCAGAAGCTTGCATGGAGTCTCTCCAATTAACTTTGATGGATCGTGATCATTCTGCATATGAAAGGGGTTTAGTCACCTCAGCCACCTTAAAAAGAAATCAAATTTTTAAAGGGTAGAAATAAATTAGTTTCACCTGAAGCAAGCAAGTCCTTCCATCAATTAGAAGGCGAGTTCCAGCTGCTTCTTCCTCTGCATATATTACATGACTGTTTCCATCCAACTGTAACAAATGGAAACTAACAGTTAAGAAATCAAAGAAACTCATGCTATAAAATTGACTATATTGAGTAATAATCCAATGAAGAGAGCTACAAAAGTTCAAATGCATAGATAGTTCAGAGAGTAATACTTGCCTGCATCAACAAACCTCCATCACGTAAAGTATGAATCTCCGCTTCTATCTCTGATTGATTCAATTTCAGTTTATAACTCCCAGGTCCTCCTCGTATCATGTCAATCTACATAATTGTTTTGGAAGATGAGTCATGCAAATTGAGCATTGCATATGATAGCGTAAGTCCCCAAAAAAGGTAAGGAAATTACTAAGAAAGATTACATACAGTATATTTGCTTCCTTCAATGCTTAAGGACACTTGAGAACGGACAAGAGATATGTGCTGGCATAATTATAAAAAAAAACATTAGTATCACTAAAAAATAAGCACGGAGTTAGATACACGTTTTCCCATTTGGATATAATACCTTAGGAGGGATTTGCCCCTTCTCAAGATAGCCAACATAGTCTGAAACCAAAGCAGCACTACTAGCAGTAGCTTTCTGTATTAATTAGAAGAAGCCACAGATCATGAATTTAAACGTGAGAAAATACCAAAAACTCGAGGAGAAAATGATAAAATTAAGAATAAGAAAGTTTGCTTACATAGAGTGCCCCTCCAACAACAGACAGATACCAAGGAGGTCTCTCTGCTCTAACCCGCATTGCAATTCTACTATCCAGCCATCCAGTGTGAATTTTGTTATCTCTGTAGTCTGATGCCTGAGATAAAATATTATAATAGTGTTACTTCTGCATAATAAACATGTTTCATAAAACTAGTTTGTCATCATGATAAAAAGATACTCAACTGTAGCTGCCCCAACATAATTTACAGATATAGCTAATCTTCTAGCCGCTTGTTCAAGTTCTTTCACCGTTTCTGGGGGTGCTACAGTAATCGGACCCTCCTCAATAATCTGTTCTAGATGATTGATTATGTCATTACCGAGATTCATTCCATCGTGACAATTTGGTGTAGTAACTAGTAACAGAAAATTTTCATACCTTTTGACAATTTGGTGTAGTAACTAGTAACAATTCCTTTTGCTTTTAATGCATCTGGTAGCTCAGGATTCTCTGATGCATGACCCCAACCAGGCCATACCGCATCAACATGAGTTATCTCGGCAATCTGGAAAACACATTGCATTACCGTCAGCAAAATTAACAAGTTATGCAGATCAAAATAATCACAATTACATAAGCACTGAAATCATTTAAATGACAAGAATAAATAAACTGCAGTAATCTCATGAAGTCGACATCACATACCTCTAGAATAAGCTGCACATTAGCGTAGTTATTGTTATTGGTCCCACCAGGTACTTCCACAAACTGATCAGCTATTCTGATATGTTCTGCATTGATTCTCATGTCTTCTGAAGTAGCCATGGCAACCAACAAGATAGCCTGTCAATAAGTAGGTACCAAACTATTGAGGAACATGTTAAAATAGTTAAATAGACAAAATAAAAGAGATAGGCATTGCTGCATTATTAAGGTTACGGCCATGTGGCCTTGGTCACAACTTCCTGCTCCAGAAAAAGCACATCATATCAGAGTAAGGCCGCATATATCTTACACACTCAAAACAACAGAGCCTGCTCATTTTATACATCAAATCTACAACTTAAAATGCTAGTTCAAATATTGGCAGCAGTAGATGCAGTAGAGTTACCTCTGTTATGTGAACCCTGCCGTGTAAGCCAAATCCAAACTTCAGTTTCAGCTCAAAAGTTTTTATGTCAGTAATCTGGTGTTGAAGATCAACTTTCCCCTACACAGGTCTTCTTGCTTGAGTTTCAAGGACAAAATCATCATTCTCTCACACCCTTACCCGCCCTTTTCTTTACTTCCTACCTATGTGCATTTGACTAACATATATTTGACCCTAATGAAGTGCCTGAAGTGTCTACTTCAGATCCTCATACTCATTTTGTTTTAGACCAGCATGAGTGAGAGGTTTGTGAAGACTACCAACAAGTGCGGAAAAAACTCTATCATCAGGTATTAGGCCCATTTTTATCATCTCATCATACAACTTAAATGCTTCATCTGCTCTCCCCTCCTTGGATAAACCTGAAATAAGTGATGTATACGTTGCGACATTTCCAGTTATCCCCTTTGACCTCATCTCATCGAAAATTTTAAGCGCCTCGTCTACCCTGCCAACAATACATTCCCCGTGTATTAGCGATGTGTATGTATACACATCTGGCAATAACCCCTTGTTTATCATTTTAGATTTTGTCAAATGTGCTAGCTTCACTTTTTCTTTCTTGCAATACACATCAATGAGAGTGTTATATGTAACAATATTAGGCACTTCTCCCTTTTTCTCCATATCCCTAAAGAACCTCTCAGCTTCAGCAAGGTTTCCTTCCTTGCAATATATCTCGATAAACATAGTGAAAGTCACAACATTTGGTTCCACTCCTTTCTCTACCATTGAATTTAAAGTACACTTGGCTTCGTCATACCTATGCAATTTACATAGCCCATTTGCAAGAATGTTGAATGTAAACACATCTGCATTGAATCCTTTCCTTTCCATGATCGTTTGCAGCCTCAAAGCTTCATCCATCATTCCTCTTTTGCAGTAGCCATCTATCATCGTGTTAAATATTATCATATTTAGGTCAATTCCCTTACTTTGCATCTCTTCCAACAAGATTTCCGCAGCTTCCATTTGACCAGCCTTACACACACCACCAATCAACGCGCCGTAAGTATGTGCATTAGGAGCAACATTTCTCTGAGCCATCTCATCAAACAACGCAAATGCCCTTTTCATATTTCCCAACCTACAATTCCAACTTATCATGGACGAATAAACATAAACATTAATTTCTATTTTTCTTTCACGCATTTCCTCGAATATCTTCTCCACTTCCCCAATATCACCAGAACTAGAATACCACTGAATCAAAATACTATAAGTCGCCACACTAAAAACAACCGGCTCCTTCTCCATCAACCTCAGTATCTCACCAACTCCACTTCGATCCTTTCTTCCAACATACGCATTCAACAACGTATTGTAAGTAAACACAGTCGGTTTCACAATGCTTTTAGTGACCATCTCATCCATCAACTCCTTAGCTTTCTCAACCTCTCCTCTCTTACACAAGCCATCAATCACAAGTGTCAAAGACTGAACCCTAATTTCAATTCCATTAGACTCAACCATCCGGCGGAAGAATCTAAGACACAACTCAATCTCACCACATCTCTTCAAAGCAAGCAAAAGCACAAAACAAGACCTCTCCTCTATCACGAACCCCTTTTCCTCCACATAATCAAAAACCCTAACCGCCTCTGGAAACAACCTATTATCAGAACAAACCCTAAACAACATATCACAAAGCTTGTCAACAAAATGAAACTCAAATTCATCAAGCAAATCAACGATCCCCGAAACTGGGGAGCGAAATTGGGAATCAGTAACAACGGAATTCAGAATAGTCTTGATGGTGGCGAATTTGTGAGCTTTAAAGAGTCTAGAAAAGAGAATCAAATGGGCCTTGAGGTCAGGTTTGAGTGAATGGTTGGAATGATGGGTTTTGAGGAAGTGGAAAAAGGATAAACAGGAATGCGGTTGGAGAATAGGGTCTGAAAGAACACGGTAAGTAACATGGGGGGTGAAGGTGATGCAGGAAATGATGGAGTGAAGTTCGGTGTTATTGGGTTTGAAATAGTTGGGTTTAAATTGCAGTAAAGCGTAATAGACGAAGCGGGGTAAAGGATTTAGGGGGACGACGGGTGTGGTTACCGTCGTGCCCTTTCATAACTTTTGCATGTTTTTTAAAGGTTTAGGGGGGCGACGGTTGTTTTACCGTCGTGATGTCTATTTTAGGACGGTTTCTTAACCGTCGCAACATTCATTTTAGGGCGGTAGGTGTATACCGACGTGACATGGGTCCCTATATTAGAATTACGACGGTTATTAAGTAACTGTCGCAATTTTTGTGTCGTAAAATCCTAATTTTCTTGTAGTGCTACCAGAAGAAGGTTGGCCCATCAACGACTATCAGCATCCCACAGGTGCCTCCCCCATAGAAACAGGGGCAATAATGAGTTGTCTAAAAACAATCTAATTGCTCTGTCCATCAAGGTACCAAGGTAGGTTCAGCTGAAGAACGTGGCCAGTACATCTTAATTCCCCAGAGGGTAATCAGTACATTCTTCTCCAAGCAGAGCTATCAAATCTTAAGGAAGTTAGGTATCCTCCAGCAGATATCAACATTCCCCAGCAGCAATACATATATTCTTAACAAGCATCCCCGGCAGTCTTGGTCTAAAGATTGTTCCCTGGCGGCGTACCAATATTCAAAGGAATCACTTCCCCAGCATATCAAAACTTCCCCAGAAAAGTCCATCTCCCCCAAGCAGTAAGCTTATCCCCAGTAGATTCTGGAAGCTTATCCTCGCAAAGCACGAACGCGTCGCCCGGCTTTATTTAAAGAGTTA